GGGACAGGCGTCGAGTGTGCGGGCATCGGTTGTACCACGGGTGGTGAGCCAGCGAGGACTTGTGCGTACGTCGGTTGGAGTCGAGGTACTGGAGTGTCTACAAACGCTGGCCTGGCCATGGACGCCAACTCCTCTTTGATAACATCCCGCCAAACATTGTTGGAGGGGGGAGGTGGACTCGGTGTCATTGAGAGGCCGAAAGATTGTAGCTCTTCCCGTATAAGCGCCCGGATCATGGCACGCAATGAGGCATCAGTCGTGGTAGTGTTTTCAGAGCTGTCCGGCGGTAACCGTTGGGATTCAAGTTCTTCCAGGCGTTGGCACGTGGCAACAACGTCAGCGACCGTAGTCGGGTTCTGAATGACCAAGGCATTGAACGCAACCGTGCCTATCCCTTTCAGTAGATGACGAACTCTCTCTGATTCAGACATGGACGTGCTGAAACGGTGACAGAGAGCAAGCACATCCTCTATGTACGATGTGTAGGACTCACCGCATTGTTGCTTGCGAGAATCCAGTGTCTTCTTCGCGAGAGCTGAACGAACCGCCGGGTTGCCGAAAATTTGGCGAAGCTGTTGCTTAAAACGCGTCCAGTCCGTAATGTCCGTTTCATGATTGAAAAACCATGTTTTCGCTACGCCCGTGAGGTAGAAAGAAACACGGCGAAGCTTGGTAGGATCATCCCAGTTGTTAGTGGAACTCGCTCGATTGAACTGGTCCAACCAATCTTCCACATCTTCACCTCGAAGTCCGGCGAACGTGGGCGGCTCACGCTGGTGCGCGGTGATAATCCACGATGGATAGGCCGTGGTAGCCGGGGCCGTGGAGGTAGACGCAGAAGCGCCGGTTGGCTCATCCTGAGGCATGTTACCGGACACCTGGTACAAACGACGACCTGAGCGCAGCTCCAGGAGGCAGATCGGGCTGGGAGAGGACGGAAGATCGTAGAGCACACTCCACCACTTGTGATGTAACAGTAAAGGCAACCTTTATTAGGCCCGGAAGACACGATGAAGCGACCACGCCCAAGGCACAGAACTCAGACAAGCCAAGTCCCCACAGCAGAAGAAGATGACGACCACTCATGATGATGAATATGTGTAAAGATAGATTATGTGCTTAATGAATGCCTACAATACTCCCATTTATGGAAAAAAAACCTTGGTTTTAAGTCAGCGCTTCGTCCGTCTCTTTCACTCTCTTGCGTTCTCGCACTGTCTTTCGCTTCGTTGACCCTTCTACAGTTTCTGCGTTGCATTTCAAAAGCATAATAATTGTTTTAAACGATTCTGATCAATTTTCTTGGTGACTGATCTAGGGGTACACAATATGCAACCAGTGACAGATAAAAAAATTGGCAGATCCTAAGCGGGAATTGATGATATGCGAAGCAGGAATAAGAAAGGTCGATATGTCACTTTAAAATCAGCACAACGTTACCAGGTGGAGGTAAATGATGCCGTACATGACTTCCGTGTCATGATTATCATGTTTGGATGCGTAGTTTACCTTCGTAATCTATTCACGTCACGTGATACCAAATTTCTTATATGTGGAGGTAGCAAACGGCCACGAGCACGCTATGAACGTGGTATGTTGTCATGTTCTTACATGCAAGCGTGTCAGGATTAAAATTTTCAACACTGTCGAAATTTGGGCTTGTTGGTGCATTGTGACGACAGAAAATAGCGCAAAGAAACGGGGACACAAGACGAGGACACACGGCACAGGCGCTAACTTCCAACATAATGGGACACAAAACGAGGACACACGGCATGGGCGCTAACTTCCAACATAATCTGTTATGTTGGAAGTTAGCGCCTGTGCCGTGTGTCCTCGTCTTGTGTCCCCGTTTCTATGCGCTATTTTCTGTCGTCAGGATTATAATGTTTGCACCAGTCACATACTTCGTCAACGATAGATGTCATGTAACACCAAATTTGGTATATGTAGAGCTATCAAACTTGCCTCGAGCGCATCTTGAAGGGCCGAATATACTCCACAATGTAGCGTTGACGCACGCTGGGCACAGCGACGCTACGCTAGCTAAACGCCGCGCGAGCAGAGTCCGTCGGTGCGGCCCGACGGCAACCGGCGCGAAATTCGCGCCAATGCGTTACCCAGACTACACTGCGTCTCCCTCTTTTCGTTGTGGAGGGATGCCGAACGTGCTGAAACGCGCATGCGTCAAAGCAAGTAAGCGCGGCGCACGCCTGCGAGTAATGGCAATACTGGCGCCTGGCTTCGCAACGCTGGCCTGACGCGACGAAATGAACGCCGGCGAGCACGCGCACCGCGTCACGTCGAAATGTATTCGCGCCTTCAAAGTGGCATGTAGTCATATTCTCACATGGCGCACATGTCATGATTATCATGTTTGTGCCAGCCACATGCCTTCTTCATCCGTTAACGTCACGTATTACCAGATTTGGCTAATGTGAAGCAAGAAGAACGGCTGCGAGTGCATCATGAGTGTTGCATGTAGTCATGTTGCTACATGACACGCATCTCATGTTTATCATGTTTGCACCAGTATCATACCTTCGTCCTCCATTCACGTACCGTAATACCAAATTTGGTGTATGTGACGCTAGCGAAACGGCTGCGAGTGACACATGAGCGTGGCATGTAGTCATGTTGTTACATGACACGCATGTCATGATTTTCATGTTAGGGTCTGTCGCTTGTGTTCGCCATGCAATCATGTCATACCATACCAGTTTTGCAGCATGTCTTGTGAACGAAACCACCGCAAGAGCTGCAGGACCATGAAATGTAAATCATGACATTCATAAAGTACGTGTCACGATTTTGATGTTATGACTAGTCAAATATGTTTTAGGTAGATAGATAGATAGATAGATAGATAGATAAATAGACAGATAGATAGATACGCTGAAAGTCGCAAAGGTTTGCTAAAAAATGCTTCGCATTTATAAACGCTCCTTTGATTTTTATAGGCAAGCGCTAGAGGCTTTAAGCATAATGAAATGTGGTAGTTAGTACAAATTATCAACGATTCAAGGCTACTTTCGAGCCAGGCAAAATACGCTGTCGCTGAAACCAAAATGATGCGGGACACTTACTTTGACTCCCGCCGAGGAAGTCTCTGTGATAGGCCTGGTTATATTTCAGAGTTTGGCTGTCTATATTGAATATTTTTTTTTGTTATGAGCAATACAAAATTCAATCTATCTATCTGTATATCTAGCCGCCTACGACTTCTAGCTCTCCTGGCCGTTTCTATAATGGTATCGATACAAAACTTTGTATGGCATAACATGACTGTATATGGAACATATTTGACTTGTCATAACAAGAAAATCAGGATATGCATGTCATGAATGTCATGAAAACTCTTTCTTTAACGGGTATGTCACAGACTATATCATTTATAATTACTAAAAACAGAAGTGGGCCAAGTATGGAGCCTCGCGGTATACCCGACGTATCTGGTGTTAGGGTAGAGCCTGGTTATTTTACAGAAACACTATGATACTTAAGGAAAAAATAAGCCCGAATCCATGCTAGTAAAAAATCATTTTTTAAGATTGGTTTTGAGTTCTTTAGCTACTTCTGATGGTAAACGTGATATTATGCTTTTTCAAAATCAAAGAATAATAGGCCAATTGGACTATGGTTATCTAGAGCACCAGGGAGATCATGAATTTTCTCAAGCAGTCGTGTCGTAATAGAGAGCAATTCCGTGAAATCATGCTGCCACAGCTCGAAGATTTTATTAGCTTCAAAGAACGCTGAGATTGGTGTAAATATTATGTTTTCAAGAAATTTTGCTCATGCACACAACAAACTAGACCTGTATGATGACATATGCCACCGAACTTATTGTCACACACAGGAAACGAAAAATTCTTTGGAAAGTACAGTTGTAGATTTGCGATTTAGATTCTTTCGCAGAAGATCAAGTGAGATCTAGAGGGAGCGCCTATAAGTGCCATTTCTTTCTTTATGGGCGAAACTCCGAATAACGGCACTTGTTCGTCCCTCGTAGCAGTTGTAGTATGTAACAAGTATAACATTTTGACCTCCAAGGTAGTTCCGGTGGGAGATTTCATCTGTGCGTTGTTGAACAATATAAATAGTGCTAAATGTACTCATCAATGGCTGCTAATGAGGAATGAGAGTCAGGAGCATTCGGCTTTTAGTTAACTCGCATGCTTCTAGCGAAACCCATTAGCAACCATTGGCATGTACATTGAGCACCATCTGACAAGAAAGGGTTGCCACGTTATGCTCGCTCTGTGCAACCTCTTTAGTTTTAGAAAGGTTTAGCGAGCGTTGAGCCGCAGTGTCATGAATACAATGAACTAGTTTATATACCATGAATTAACTCGAGGTGGTTAAAGGTGGGAAGTAGACCCGAAGCGCAAGCCATAAGAAAGTGTGCGTGTGCCACCTCTCGTTTAGTCCTTGGAATGTTCGCTGGATGGCGGTGCTTCTATATGAGGAATATATGATGAAAATATGCGAGATGGTGGCCTACTTGGAGTGTTGAATAGATGGACGAACGGACACACAGACAGATGCATGGATGGACGCATGAACGGACGCAGGGGTGGATGCATGGACGAACGCAGGGACGGACGCACGAACAGACGCACGCACGGGCGGGCGAATGGACGCATGGACGGTCACACAGACGGACGCATGGACGGACGGAAGAAAGAACGAATGGACGGACGAATGCTTCGCCCCACTCTCCATCATTCACTTCGTGGATATGCTGCCAATTTTTCTTTGCTTAGTATTCCAAGGGCTTGTGTGTAAGATAACAATGGTACACTTACGAGCTGCGTTATCGCACTCTCAATGTCGTGGCAAAAGTAAGAACAAAAGCATCAGTTCATTTGTCTGATAGAAGTGATAAACAACAGTAATTTCCGGTGCTTAGAGAAAAAGAATGGTGAGAGCTGGCAAACTGATTGGGCACAGACTTCACACGACGACCCCTGGAGTACTTCTGCGAAAAGTCCTTGTATAATAGCGCATGCGCCGTAAATGCCAGGATTGCTCACACGCGACAAACAACACTCGCTGTGGCTTAAATTGAAGGTACTCCAGGCCACTCTTCCTGGTGGTACTTTAGAACTGCCGTCGAAGACCAAAGCTAACTTTTGCCCAGTCCACTCGCGCTAGCCAATAAGCAAAAGGTGAGCACTCATTCCTCCTTTTACCTGAGAGAAAAGTGTAATGCTCTTAATGTCCGCTGTGTTGTTCTGGTAAGTGGAGTTCCGTGGAATCGATGAAGGTGGCAATGTAGGCTTCTGGGTACGGTATGATAATTGATGGTAGCGCAGAGAGGGTAAGTGGAAGTAAATCTTGCTTGAAATTTGCTGTTGTAGGGAACTATGCGAACGACGACAAAGCAGCAAGAAACGGCAAGCCACAGTGTTGGTGCACACGCACGACCAGAGCTTGCGCTTGTTTGTATTTTCGGCCTGTTGACGTTCCTCGCTATTCTGGCGTTTCTCGGCCATCCAGTAGGTCTGTACGTAAATAAACTACGTGACATCTGGTGGAGGTGCTGGGTAATAGGCCCACCTGTTTCGCCTGTAGTATTGCTCGACACGTCACCCGCCACTGTCGCTGAGATCCCCCTCCAGTACACCGTGAGCACGCCAATTGCGTCGTCATCTAGGACGCCATCAAGGTACACCACTGACGGTCATCGACCCTATGCAAACCATCGCTCACCATCCGCCCCACGATGCTCCCTATGTGTTGCTGACCTGCTACGGAAGAGGGAAACTGATCACTGCAGCCCCGGAGGCAACAGCTGCATACAATTCGAACTGCTTAATGCCTCCATCTTTTTCGCCGCAAAACGTTATCGACGTCAATGTTGAGGGGACCGCCGCACAAGCGCTTATCGACACAGGGGCCGCCGTTTCCATAATCTGTGAGACCTTATGCCGCAAGTTGAAAAAGATGACGACGACTCTTTCGGGCCTGATGCTCCACATGGCCAACTAGCAGTGCATAGAACCAACAGTTGTGTGCACTGCACGTGTCATAATCTAAGATACACTTTATGCCATTGAATTTTGGGGTGGAATCATGCTCCCACGAAGTCATTCTTGGATGCGACTTTCTTTCACGTCATCGGGCCATCATAGATTGCTCGCGTGCACAAGCTGTCCTTACACCGTTGCCAATCTCTTATTTGATAGATTCTCTTTTTCTAAAGCTTACAAACTTGCCGTTATTGCAGACGCGGAAATAGCACCGAGAACATCCGCCCTTGTAGCCCTGATCTGTACGGTCGCTCCTGCTGGAACTGTTTTGTTCACTCCGTCTGACGTATTTACCCGTCGCCGTAGCCTACACCTGCCCTTTGCCATACTCACCGTGCAATCCGGTGCTACCGCCATGCTCGTTGCAAACTCGCTATCGTCGCTAGTTACCTTATTTCGCGGAGAATGTTTCGGTAACATACAAGACGTTGAACTCTTGCGCCGTCTGGAGTTTGCCGAACACCCACCTCACCTCCAGCTCAATGCTATGACGCCACCTGTGGCCACACTGCCCGCGCCAGACACATTACAGCCCTCTGTTGCCGCTGAGCTATCGCCGACACAAAGACGTGAACTCTTGTCCCTTCTTCGAGAGTTTCGTTCTGCCTTCAATTGCCCTCAACCATCTTTGGGTCGCACCACATTGACACCGGTACTCATGCTCCCTTACGCCAACGACCATATCGAGTTTCAGCGGCAAAGCACCGTATTATCAACGAACAAGTCGACGATATGCTCAAGCGTGGTGTCATCCAACCATCGCATAGCCCTCGGTCGTCCCCTGTTGTACTTGTGCACAAAAAGGATGGGTCGATCCGATTCCGACTCCCGCCGGCTCAATAAGATAACTCGGAAGGATTTGTATCCGTTGCCACGCATCGACGATGCTCTCGATTGCTTGCAAGGAGCAGAATATTTCTCCTCTTTAGATTTACGCTCAGGATATTGGCAAGTTTCAATGGCGGAATCGGACAGATCGAAGACTGCATTTGTAACACCTGAAGGGCTGTATGAGTTTAACGTCATGCCGTTTGGACTCTGCAAAGTCCTAGCTACCTTCGAACGGATAAAGGACACCATCCTTCGCGGCTACAAGTGGAACACGTGCCTCTGCTACCTAGACGACATCGTAGTTCTTTCTCGCGACTTTTCGACTCACCTTGTTCGTCTTCGTGCTATTCTCAAGTGTCTCACCTCTGCTGGCTTTCAACTTAACATCGATAAGTGCCATTTTGCCGCACGTCATCTCACTATACTGGGTTACGTCGTCTGCAAAGAGGGTGTTCTTCCGGATCCGGCAAAACTCCGCGCCATGGCCGACTATCCGAAGCCCAATTTCATCAAGACGCTTCGAAGTTTTATAGGCCTGTGCTCATAATTTCGTCGATTTGTGCACAACTCCATCATCGCGCCTCTTACCAACCTGTTGACAACTTCTAAAGGCATTTCTGCTTGGTCAAAAGAGTGCGACGAATCCTTCACCACGCTTTGGTGGTTATTATTGTCACCTCCAATACTACGTCATTTTGACCCCGATGCGCCTACGTAGGTCCCAGTGTTGTCGATCTTGGTGCCGTATTGGCTCAACGAAAACCAGGATACCAAGAATACGTGGTAGCTCACGCAAGTCGAATCCTCAAGAAAGCCGAGTGTAATTATTCCGTCACTGAGAAAGAGTGCCTCGCAGTTGTCTGGGCTTTGACGAAGTTCCGCCCATACCTTTATGGCCGCCCTTTCGAAGTCGCCACGAACCACCACGCTCTATTCTGGCTATCATCGCTCAAAGACCCGTCGGGGCACCTTGGTCGTTGGGCGCTTCGCCTACAGGAATACGACATTCGTGCTGTATACCGATCCGGCCGCAAGCACTCCGACGCTGATGCGCTATCCCGCTCGCCGCAACCGGCTGACCCAACCTCCTCGTCACCTTCTTCAGCTGTCATAACACCAATCGACTTCACAGGCATGACATCGGAACAACGCAAAGATGTGGGGATTTCCCAACTCCTCGCCTTTCTGACTGATCCGCTATCTAATTCGGTCTCAAGAACAATTCGTCATCAAACCACACATTTCGCTATTCAAGACGGCCTCCCCTATTGGCGGAATTACACGTCTGAAGGTCGGAGGTGGCTGTTAGTGATACCCCACCACATGCGCTTGGAAATCTGTACTGCTTTCCACAACGACCCGCAAAGCGCTCATGCCAGCGCTCTCAAAACGTACAAGCATCTACGTGAGCGGTACTACTGGTGCGGCATGTACACATTTGTTCGCAAGTACGTACGTGCTTGTACTGCATGCCAGCGACGTAAAGCCCCACCTCAACGCCCTGCCGGTACACTTCAGCATCTGCCTTGTCCAGCGCGTCCATTTGACCGCGTCGCTATCGACTTATACGGACCACTTCCCACGTCGTCTTTTGGAAATCGGTGGATAATTGTCGGCGTGGACCACCTCACACGTTACGTGGAGACGGCAGCACAACCCGCAGCAACAGCGAGGGAAGTTGCGTTTTTTATCTTGCGCAAATTTATTCTTCGCCATGGTGCTCCCCGCGAACTTTTGAGCGACCGAGGGCGTGTTTTCTTGTGTGACGCCATTCAAGCCTTGCTCGCTCAGTGCAACATGGTTCATCGCATGATGACAGCATATCACCCGCAGACGAATGGCCTCACAGAACGATTTAATCGCACTCTCGGTGATATGTTGACGATGTACACAGCTTCAGACCAGACCAATTGGGACACTGTCCTTCCATTTGTCACGTATGCGTATAACACCACTACGCACGCGACATCAGGGTTTTCCCCTTTCTTTCTGTTGTACGGGCGCGAACCATCATGCACGCTGGACACTATCCTCCCATACACGCCCGATTCCTCTGAGTACACTGCAATTTCTGATGTGGCCAGGTACGCAGAAATTTGCAGACGATTGGCCCGTTCACTGACAACCGAGGACCAAGGCCACCAGAAGCTATACGGCATGACACCGACCGACATCTCTCTACTTTCACGACTGGTGCTCTCGTTTGGCTCTGGATTCCACCGAGCACTCCTGGCCTTTCGCTGAAATTACTGGCACGATACCACGGGCCCTACCACATTCTCGCCCGTACGTCACCAATCAATTATGAGATTGAGCCTTTGACACAGTCTGATGACTTACGCCATCGTGGCCGAAAAATTGTGCATGTGAGTCGCCTGAAGCCGTATTACGACCCCGCTATAGTGAATACACCTTAAGTCACCAGCTTGGCTACGCTATTCACCAGGGGCCAATGTAGGAAACTATGTGAACGACGACGAAGCAGCAAGAAACGGCAAGCCACAGCGTTGGTGCAGACGCGCGCCCCGAGCTTGCACTTGTTTGTATTTTTGGCCTGTTGACGTTCCTCGCTGTTCTGGCGTTCCTCGGCCTTTCAGTAGGTCTGTACGTAAATAAACTACGTGACACTGTTTTTTTACGCTATCTTAAGGCTCGTTGGCACGCCGTGCGGCCAAACAGTCGCAAAGCTAGTTACTTGTCGCTAATCGCAAATGGCTCATAGTACCTTGACTTAGGAGAGTTGGTACATATTCGGCAAAATACAGCAGAAAATTAAAAAAAAACCGACGACTGCCAATCTACGACTTAGTTTACTTGCGCTTCAAGGGGCTTTTTTATGCACCAGACCTGGGAATATCAACTAAGACACTGATAAGAAAGACGCGATGACGTGAAAGAAAAAAAAAACGATGCTAACAGTATCTCCATGGTTTGGTTGATCATTATTGTTTTGGTTGATGTAGCCAGGTATAGGGTATAAAAAGGCCTGATGAAGAGCAAATAAACTCGGGGCTAAGTGGGCGCTCGTCAGTGTTTTACGTGTCTCCCATCTTCGTTCAAGTCGCAATGCATTTGGCCACAGACAGACACAGTGGTCGCAAAGTGAATGCTTTAGCTCCTGGGTTCACTGTCCTACTTTTAAATAGCGAAATTGCAGCCACCAGACTTTCACGCATTGCGACTCGCAGCAAAACGTAATCGAATTATTCTAAAGGGCATTGGCAATGAGAGCAGTACAAAAGCTGTACAACTTCTCAAGAATTATGCATGGCGACAAGTATAAATTGCATGCAGGTGTGAACATTGGTAGCAATGAGTCGATTTTTATACGTCTGTCGCAAATGGTCTTGCGGGCAGTGCCATTCGCAAGGAACTAAAAGGCATTTATGGCGGTGCATGTACCACAAAAACTGCTTGCGTTAGATCTCCGATTGAAACCTTATTGAAAAACAATTTGGGTCTCACGTCTCAAAACATCCAAATGATTATGACTAAGACCGTCCGGAAAAGCTTCGGAAATTTCCACTACCTGACGTAGCTTATTGGGCGCCTGAATCATGTAGAGGCCTCTAGCAATTTAACTCCAACGAAACGCGGCTACCGTGGCCGGGATTCGATTGCCTAATATTCGGGTGAGCAATTGAACACCATTACCATTTCGCAGGGCACCAAACCTGCTGCCTACAGGCTGGTTAACCTCCCTTCCGTTCTTTTTCTCCTATTTTCCTTCCATTACCACTAGATCACCGTGACGAGCTTCACTTGACACACTGGTGCTCTTGATCATACGAAAAGCATTTGGCGCTTAGCCAGAGTGCAGTAAAACTATATTGGTATTTGCTCCAGTTGGCTTCCACTAACTCTAGCAAATCAGCTATTTCGTTCCATCAGATTAACGTGCGTTAGAAACACGATTGCTTGAAGCCGCGGCATAATGTTATTTAATGGTACTCAGAATGCCTTTGCGACATTGTGTCAAGTATTCTGTATTGTGCTGGTATCTGTTTCAAACAAGTATAACAGTGCGTGCGAAAGACGTCACTCCGACGTCGTCTGCCGTCACCGCCGGAATGACCCGAGAGTTCGACGACGTGCGTTCTTAACGGGTCACATTCTCTTGAAGTTACGGGCATGAAATAACGGCTTGTTGGAATTACCTTGAATCAAGCGAGCGCCTGACTCGACTGCTTCACACGATACGTGAAAACACAAATATTTGCATTACGGATCCATAAGATATCAGCGCGATAGCTTTGAGGAGCTCTTTTCTGATATGCGCATGAGTGGGGGAGGGGGTGGTTGCTCCTGGTTATCAGATAAAAAAGGGCGCCAAGTCTACCCCATACAGTGAGTTAATACAAAGGGAGGCACTACCGTAAACCTTTGCACTCCCCCCCCCCCCTCACCAACTGGAGGGGAACCCTTCGCGCGCCTACACTCCAACAAGAAAATAAAATTGAGTATTCGGGGAGCAGTCCTGCTACGCAACAAAAAGTGCCACCTGGCTTGCTGGTGTTTCTTTTCTGGAAAACTCGGCGCTGGCCAGTTTCCTGTCGGGAATGATATGCCACACTGATAGCGCGTGTGCGGTTTGCGACTGCGAACTTTTGCAACAGTGGGGATAGCACGAGGAAAGTACTCGAAGTAAGTGATGCTTATTGTTGTGTAGCACAAACACTCATGCAACAAATAATAATTTTTTTAGAGTGTGTGCCGGTAGTTGTACAAACATCGTTAGTTGTGAGCGAAAAACTCAAAAGACTTTTGACCTTCGCCTCAAAAGTGGAATGCGATAGCGTGATGAGGCCTCGTTCACATCGCCAGCTCACTCAGAAGCTTCGTTTCTCTTCTGGTTACCTCAATTGTTGCGCAAGTAAATAAACATCAGTACGCACATTAGCCATTCCAAGCTATGTTACAATGCCAACTGCAAGGACAGTTACGAAATGCACACTGTGCGAAAACCCTTTGCTTTGAGAATGAGCGAACATCCCACTAAGCACCCGAATTGGGACACAGAAACTTGCGTTGCTTCTCACTTTGTTCATGCTTCTGCACCAATTGATAATAAGTATGTTTCAGCGCTTTGAAATGAATGGGTTTTAATCACCATACTGGTGGTCCAGTTCACACATCTATACACCTAGTACAATTCGAAGTTTCTCCCACGTAACATTACGCGCATTAATTAGACGCCTCGCATAACGTGGCATTCGTATAATTACACGGAAGCAGTGCAAAAAAATGGCGTTTCCATCTATTTGCATCTTATTTGTATTTTCGTGCACAGAGAACGCTAACTTTAGCGAAGAAGCACGTATCAGTTGTTTCTGGAGTACCACAGGGCTCTGTCTTAGGTCTGTTGCTTTTCATTATCTATTTAAACGATTTACAATTCGACTGTACGGTGCATTTCCGTTTTTTTGCTGATGACTGCGTGGTTTATCTCCCTATTGAATCGGTAAATGACCAGAAAATTCTCAACAAATACCTAACAGCTGTTAGTAATTGGTGTGCCGATTGGAACATGAGGCTCAACATAATCAAGTGCCGTCAAATGACTATAACGCTCCAAAAGTGTCCGTTTCAATATACTTATCAAATTAACTATGTTGAACTAGAGGTTGTTAACGAGTTCAAATATTTGGGTGTAACCATGATATCAAACCTCACCTGGAACATACACATACAAAACAATACATCATCAGCACTGCGCAGACTTTGGCTTTTAAAACTCCGACTTCAGCACTGTACAAGCAAAACGAAGACCGTTGCGTACACTACGCTGGTCCGCCCCTTGCTCGAATATGCAGACATTGTTTAGAACCCACACTCATAGACGGATTCAGCAATGCTCGAACGGGTAGAAAAAAAAAAAACGCTGTGATTTATTCACAACGCATAGAGCAGGCGAGTATCCGTGACCCAACTGCGCAGGCGTTCTGACCTACCAACACAAGAGTGCCGCCGTAAACTACATCGTCTTTAAATATTACACAGCATAGTTAATGGTTATTCAAAGCTTGACTTCAATACTTATCTCGAATTCAACATGTCACGCTCCACCCGGAACAAGCACAACAAAACAATCCTAATGCCTTTCACGAGAACAAACGCTCACCGTCTATCCTTTTTCCCGAAAACGATAGCAGAATGGAACACTTTTCCACGTGACGTTACTAATTTCACTAATCAAAATGCTTTTTCAATGGCTATTCAAAATTGTGTATGATTGTAAGTGCTGCTCTTGTTACCCGGGCCTGTTCTATTGAACTAACGTATTTCCCGCGTTACCTTGCTACCATGCCACTAACGCACACTCCTGTTTTTTTTGTTTTCACGCTTCCTGGTCAATGTGCGTAGTGCACTTTGTGTGTTTTGCATTTGACTAGCATTGCCAGTTTTATGGTGTATTCACGTAGTTATTTGTAACGAGAATAACTACTGTTTTGCGAATCATGGGCCGTGCTACTGATTGCGCGCACTTGTGTGTGTGTCGTGACAATCTGAAAGCTTACTGCATTCTTGCTTCCCTGTGTACCGCGGACCATGTTACTGGTCGCGCGTAAACTTTGTATTCGAACTCTGCACTGTAGCACCCCTGCCCTGGCTGCCAAAGAGTGGCTGGCAGTATTGAATAAAAATAAATAAATAAATAAATAATCTCTGCTGACAGAAATTTATGCCATGCTTCGTAAATAAATTGCTTGCAATTGAGAAAAACTGCATTGTGAATACATTGCTTAGGTCACTTTACTGCTTTCAGGAGCACTCAGTGAAGATGCAGAGAAGAAGACCGGCCTACCAAGTTATAGATGGAGTTCCGAGGTGCATATCGCTGAATCCCGAGAGATTGAGAGAAGCATTGAACTTCAGGGCAAAGAAAGGAGACCTCGTGCAAGTAACGTTTCCAAAGAGCGGAACGCATTGGCTCATGTACATCACGCACTTAATTCTTAGGAATGGACAACAGATGACGACATACCAAGAGTTCGCCAAGGAGTGGCGCTTTCTTGAGTACATGGATATCAAGGATTTCAGCTCGTCTCTGCCTGTGAGAACACTCGTCTCGCACTTGGCATTGGAGCAGCGCGCGATGACAAAAGAAGGCAAGTACATCTACCTTGCCCGAAATCCGTGGGATGTCTGCGTGTCATTCTACCATATGGCGACGAACCTGAGTGGTTTAAAATTCCAAAACGGAACATTTGAAGAGTTTGTGAACGTTTTCGTGAGTGGTAATTTTGGCTACGGTGACTACTTTGAACATGTTGCCGCTGGTTACGCACTCAGGGACGAACCGAACGTGCTCTTTTTGACGTACGAGGAACTCAAGAAGAACACCCGTGAGGTGACACTGAGGCTGGCGCATTTCCTGGGAGAGCAGTACGGCCGGGCTCTAGAGCAGGACGGAACGTTACTACAGAAAGTGCTCGAAAGATCGCAGCCCGAATACATGCGTGATGTGGTGGTCATAGATCTAAGTGGCAGAGACAACCCGCAGTGGAAAGAGGTGCTCTCGCGCGAAAAGTTCACCTGCATCGAAGGCCACGAAGGCGATGAGAACAAGTACGCTCTCGTTAGAAGGGCCAAAATCGGGAGCTGGAAGGACTACTTCACGCCAGAGCTACTTCAGAAGATGGAGCGTAGAATTCTGGAGGCCGAAAAAAAGTCTTCATTCATAGACCTCTGGAAGGACATCCGAGCTGAAGCTATTGCACGCATTCAGGATACGAAATAAACATCCACATGTTCTGCTACCTAGAAGATTCTTTTAGCCCTTTATTACACTCGCATAGGCAGATACGTTCGACCAATACGGTAACAGTATTTAGAGATAATAAAAATAGCAGCACAATGGCTGGTGAAGTATTGTGCGCAGAAAGCAGTATAGGTTTCATTGGTACATAAGGAAATTCCCATATGCAGAGTGGCATTTTGCGAAACACACTTAATGTAAGGTGTGTTTTACAGCGAAAGCTTTTATGAGATCACAACTCCGGTCACGTGCAGTTGTTGGCCACCGCCGCCGGTGCCCGTAACCACATCGCGCGAAATTGGAAAGAAAACTAGCATTATGACACAGTGCGGCACGAACCCGGATCCGCTGAGTGCCAGCCCACTGTTTCACCACTCAGTTACGCCGGGGCTTGTAACTTGTTGTCAAACTTGTTTTCAGCAGGCATGGCCCAACACCAATGACACAGTAAGGCTTGAACCCAGGTCCGCTGGGTACCAGCCCAGTATTCTACCACTGAGCTACACCGGTGCTTGTGATTTGTTGTAAAACTTGCCTTAGGCAGGTCTAATGTTTGGAAAGCAATCGCGTCAGTATACGACTCATAAAGCGTTTTAAAACAACAAAAGAACTACCAGTCGTTCCGCAATGCGAATAGCGTAACGAATGGGCCGTCTAATGCTCCAACCCATCACAAAAGCCTGTTCTCGTTTCCCTATTAGGTGTAGAGCATATCCTCTTCAGACATATTTCTTCATCATCGTCAGGCAGTGCGTGAACCATTGGCACAAAATTCCTCGCTAGTGTGTAGCAAATACCACGTTATCATGAGAATGACAAAATAGCATAGGAAATGCCGGCCTACTACCCAAATAAATTTATTATTAATGACCTAGTAGGTATCAATCAAGTCTGCTTGCAGTATTTGCCCAAAGAGTATTTCGGAAGGGCTCTGAAAGGCCACTCTTCTAGCTTTCACTGTGACTGTGCTGCTCCTTTCGCACAGGCCTGGCATTTTTTTGCACTCCCCATGTAGAGTGGAAGTAAGTTTTTACGTTTACATAGTTGGATACGATAACCCAGCACGGTAGCACGACATTCATTGCGGAAATCAAAAGAGCTCCGCGATAGTTGTTAAAGCACTGAGAGTTTTATTAATATGATAACTCTATGAATAAGGTCTAGTCTATTGAAAGCACACTGCGGAAGACTAATTAGTTCGTCATGCAAGTCTGGATGATAATAGAGCTCATGTAGAGAGCTTTATGACGTGTTTTACGTTGAGATAGTAAACTGGAATTGCTTCTCAAAGTCATGCTGATGGTGCGACTGTACCGAGAGCAAATAAAACGAACAGTATTGTTCTGAAACCGTTCTAGTGCGTGAGACAGATTTTCACGAAAAGAATCTCGTATTGGTGCGACGTATTCGAGTTAAGATGTAAGTAGTGTTTTGTTTAAGAGAAGCTTTAAGGAAGAAGCTGATCTTGAAAGGTTTCGACCACTGTAAATAAGCATGCTATATTTGCTTTTTACATAGCGTGTGTGATGTGATCATCCTAGTTTAAGTTCAACGTGATGTGTGCCTCAAAGTATTTGTACAATTGCGCAGCTTCTAGCGGTTCGCTTTTGTCTATAAACAGTTCGAGATGTTTGCAATAGGGCAACTGCATAAATTTACATATACCTATGACTTACTGTATTTGCCCCGCCTTGCTCCATAAACAAACTGCGTTAAGATCAGCCAGAAAAAGAGTTAAACCATTATCACAAGTTATCCTGCTAAACATTAAGCAACTGTCTGCAAAAAGGTGAATATTTGAAGAAGCGCAAGAAGGTAAGTGGTTTATGCATAATATAAAAACACATTGGTCAAGCTTTGCGGAACACCAGGTTTTACAGTGCTAAGTCCTTAAGTAGGGCTGTTTGTGGAAACGAATCGATACCTGTTGTGAAAAAAAAAAAAAAACATTCGATCTAGGCCAGAAGTTCTAAGCTTATATAAAAGTGATTTATGGTAACTTTTTGAGTGCTCCTTAAAAAAAACTAAAAAGTGCAGTCAGTGATTGAAGAGGTATCTAAAAATGAAAATTTTGCCATATCCACGAGGTGAATGACGGGATCGAATCCCGGCTGCGGCGGCTGCATTACTTATGGAGGCGGAAATGTTGTAGGCCTGTGTGCTCAGTTTTGGGTGCATGTTAAAGAACCCCATGTGGTCGAAATTACCGGAGCACTCCACTACGGCGTCTCTCATAATCGTACGGTGGTATTGGGACGTTGAACCTCACATATCAATTATTCAAGGTGAATGACGGTGTGTGGTCGAAGCTCTGAAGGTAAATATGCTAAACCATGAATCTTCCGTACATTTGGCCCGCTCGACCACATAAAAATGAGCTACAAACATGGTGATTGTGTGTGATAGAGTATATGTGCCTGTTTTAATATTCATATATGGGAGATAATGTCGTTTGTTCAAGAGTTCTTTTGCTTTACGGACGGCAAGGGGGCGGCGGGCGGGTAGGTAGTTCCTGATTTTGCTTTTGCCATATATAACTTTAAGCTCAGGGGAACGTTCTCTTTTGATTAAAACGACCTTGTGTTCCATGAAGTAGAACGAAAAGGGATTTTAAATTGAATATGGCCTAAAGTTTAATATTCAATGCCGATACAAGTTTCCCTGACGGTACTGGGACGTTTGTAGTCATATGAAATGTACCGGGCAGCGCAACAGGCAGCATGTGTTGAACTAGCCAGTCGTAGTTCCATTTGTCCGCGTTAAAGTCTCTGGCGAGTACGAAGGGGTCATGCTTGTTTTCAGTTTCGTAGGGCAGCATCATCTTCTCGATGTACCTGATGATGTTTTCCTTGGGCAGGTGAGCTGCCAGGTACATAGTAGTGATGATGATTCCAGTAGAGAGTTTTGCAGCAGCAGGCTCCTCGATATGGATCTGGTTAGGGAGTGGTAAAGGGAGATTCCCCTCTGTCTCCTGCAGCTTGGCGTAGATATCAATGCCACCCACTGGACAATGCACATGCTTCTTTAGTGCAGACAACTAGAATATTTCCATTGATATGCATGTTTGTAGACTTACATATACCATGAAGCAGAGTACGTTCGTTGTGGTCAGTATGGGATCTTTATAGATGCCATCTATACTGATACTGAGAAAGCGAACGTTAGGCAGGCCGAGGGTAACTCAGTCGAGTGGTCATCGTCTTCTCGCTAACTCAGCGTCGGCAACCAGTTTTGCTCGAGGCGTCTGAACTCTTTGAGCGCAGCCTTGTCTGAGCATAGCATCAGGATCGTCATCAGTGTCAACGCCAACGCCATCGTCATTGTTGGCCGGGGAACGCCAGCACCACCAAGGGAAGAGCCTCGACATTAACGAGCTTCGCCTCTAGTAATTAATTTGTACACAAATGACTTCAGTTGCGTTTAACGGGAGGTGCTTTTATGAAAGCCATGTTGTGATAATGAAAAAAATGTGTTTGATTCAGGGAAGCTTATAATAGGCGAAAACAGGATATGGTCAAGGCTTTCGCAGGGTATGCTAGTAAAGGCAGTGGACTGGTTATTCATTTGGGAATGCCTGTTACCTGATTAACGAAGAAAATTACCTTCACGTTCTTCCAGTTTCATGAAAGAGAACCAGTGTGAATAGTCTGCTTAAGTATCATAGTCAATGGGGGCAGAATAATCGGGTAGCGTTCTATTTGGAAAGTTTGCTTCTCTTTCATCGCATCGGAATCAGAAAAATTATTTTAATAGCTTAATTTCTTTGTCACACCGTTTGAGTTGACTTCTACAGGAAACACCGCTGTGTAGATGTAATGGGAGATTATGGCACTGATGTGTTTGTGTTAGAAGAAAAGATATTAGAAAATGCGTAATTCAAAACTTCACAGAATGCGTTGTCAGAAATGGAATTACTTGAACTAGCAGTTAAGGTGAAGCTATGGCCCATGCTTGATTTTATCGTGCACCATAATTTTTTGGTCTGCTTGTGAGCACTGACGGAACGGTTCTACTTAAACAGTTGCTTTTCACTTTCTTTCCTGGATTTATATTTTGGTAAGCTGCTGTCTTGCAATTCGTCTGGTGACCATTCATGGGTGAACTTCTAGTAGATTCAAAAAGATGCGTGTAGTGTTGCATAGACGCTTTAGGTGCTTGTTGCACCATAGATAATTGAAAACCATGCCGATGGTGATAACAGGAACATATTTATTTTGTAATTCAATAATTGCTCAACAATTATGCACTTATTAACCACCATTGTACGACTGCCAAACCCTGTTACGAACTTATCACGAAAGCCTGCAAGCTCTTCGTTTATAACTTGATAGTTACCGTTTATAATATATTTTTTACTTTTTTGTTTAGGAAGCGTAGGTAGAACTGCATTCATTCCAAATTTTAGTAAGGCACGATCACTACGACCTGCCAAGGGTATAATGTCGAAATCAAGGTTGCCAAGGTTTCAAGTATGAGGGCCAGGGTGTTTAATGCTCACTGTGTTATTCGAGTTGACTGCTTAACAAGCTGGGTTACTTCGAAAAGGAAGCATAAATCTAGAAAAGATTTAGCCAATCTGCAATACTGGCGAATACTGAGAGAAGCACAGGAAAGCTTGTCTTTTGTAATATTAAAATCACCAAGTAATGAAACGAGAATATAGTTGTAGTTTGAAGCGACAGAATTTATTACATCACGCCTTTTCCTATAAAACAGTGTGTCAGGTTAAGAGCCCTATAGAAAATACCTAGAACAGTATTTTGATAGGCTAATTAGGTTACACCTTAAAGGGTATATAAAGTCCTGGCTACTTTGATAACACAAGAAGCTAGGCATTTACGTATGCCTAATCAACACCCCCCCCCCCTTCATGCTCCCCTCGAACATGACGATATATGGGAAAATGTCGTGTTCCGTGAAATGTCCTACCGTCTTCAATTTCGGAGCGGAGCCATGTTTAAGTTACTGCTATGATGTCAACATTGCAGGTGTTAGTCACGAATGATAA